TGTATTGTAAGGTAATTTTCTCCAGTGCAAAAGAAATACCAAGACAGATGTTGGAGAGGCTGAGGGGAAGACAGAGCCACCGTCATATTTTGGGGTTGTGCTAGTATTGCCACATACTGGCAGGACTTGAAAGAATGAGGAAAATCCTGAAAGTGAAACTTCCTCTAACATTTGACACTTTATACATTGGAAGTGGGATTGATAAGCTGCCAGTAAGAAGCTATAACTAGGAATCGGTTGAAAATAAAGGCTCCAGCAAGGGAAGATTGGGTTGAAGTAATGCATGACATTTATAATGGAAAGGCCAACTTTTTAGATTCAAATCTGGCAAGTTTAAGAAACATTGCAAAAACTGGGTGAAAATTATATAAGTGATCAGACTTTATCATTTGTCAAAATCAGGGTTGATAACCTCTTAGAGCGTTCTATAGTTTTGGTCTGCTGAGTTTAAGAAAAAAATGTGCATTTCAATGGGATTGGACATTAGATTAATCCATAAATAAGCAGGTGAAGGGATTTTTTCCTTTTCCTTATAAAGGAATGAGAGCTAGGATAAAATGTTAAAATTACAGTGCAATTGTCACCTAGCTGAAGCATGGACTGTTATATCTACGTGGAAAACAGGTGCATAAAATTTTGGAAATGCACTCAAAATGTCATTTACAAAACCATTTCTCCATTGAACCAGCATTCATGATTGCAGTTTCCACAGTTATCCAGCAGATGGTGCCATTACAATGGGGGAACTTTGCTCTGCATTTAACCCATCCCATTGGGGATGGGTTAAACATTGTGCAGTACGCTGCACAATGGCAGCGTACTGGTGGGGGTAAACCCCCAGTTTCCACATTGTCCATCAGGGCTTCGCTCATGTATGTTATACTGGGTATTTGTCATGTTAATGAGAGCTGTTCCACATCCTCTGCATGTCACCATCCACCTACATCTTCTCCATCCGTCACAGATGGCTCCACCCCAGATGGCGGTCAGAGGATGTGGGGTTTCAATGTAAGGGTCTTGCTTAGGAACCTAGAGTGGAGGCTATGGAACTGGGTACTTGCAACCTTCTCAGAGCAGTCACTGCTCTAACCACTCTGCCAACACTCCCCCCTCATAATTAAAGGATTCAATGAAAGGACAACAGTTTTATTGTTGTGCATTTATTGCAAATCAAATTAAACCTTTAACAGCCGCCAGAAAGACGGGTTACAGTTACATTTTCCAGGAATGAAGACGGTCCACATCCAAGAACAGCATGAAGAGGAGGAATGTAGGTGGAGTTCCTCATCTAAGCAACAGCTAAAGAGAGGAAGTCTGAGGTCAAAGGTCAGGGTCTAAGCAGCTCAATAGAGCCAGCTGAAGGCACAGCTGGTGTAGCTGACCAGCTCCTCTGGTTTGAACCACAGGGAGATCTCCTTGTTGGCACTCTCCACCGAATCACTGCCATGGATGATGTTCCTGGTGGAAAGAGAAGAAGAAATATTTTTAAAACCGACCGGATCCAATCACAGAACCGACCACCACACCGGCTCACATCTCCAGCAGGCTGGAGTCTGTCAGAGACCCCACAACCACACCTAACAGACCAATTCACTACATTTTAAATGGTTCAAATCTCGGTTTATCATTTTAGCCATTTAAAGTTATTTTAGTCGCCAGGATCCAGTCTGGATTAAACGTGGTAGATGATCCGACCTGCAGCAGCGTTTCAGGAAGTGGTGATGAATCCACATCAGTTAATGGCCGTTTCCATGGAAACCTCTGCTGTAGCAACAGTCACTGCCCTGTACCACCAGTTTGGATCCAGTAGGTCCACAGAACCAGAACTCACTTGCTGACATCGATGCAGAAGTCTCCTCTGATGGTTCCAGGTTTGGAGTCAGCAGGGTTGGTCTCGCCCAGCATCACCCGGCCCGTCTTCACCACACCCTTTCCTTCCCACACCTGGAAAACAAAACCGACCTGATCACCTGGGTGCTGTGCCCCCCCCGCTACAGTGTTTAAAGAAAACGATGAGAACAGAACCAAACTGGTCACTAGAACACAGTCTGTTCCACCGCATCCTCACCATGGCAACCACTGGACCAGAGCTCATGTAGTTGACGAGGGTAGGGAAGAAGGGTCGGTCCTTGAGGTCCTGGTAGTGCTGCATCAGAAGGTCCTCAGAAGCCTGCAGAGAACAAACATCAGTTAAACGTCTCCATCTTCTTCCAGCCAGCGGCCATCTTTCATGCCGTGATGTCACAAATCCGCACCATTCCTTCAACCCTGGACCTCAGGACTCGCTGCCACCATCTTTTAGAGTCTCTGCTGCAGAAGAACCGGAGTCCTACAGACTCCTGGACCTTGGCCCACTTTGAGGCTCTGACTGCTCTCAGGTCCATGTGAAAAACACCAGCAGATCCAGTTTATAGGTTCTGCTCCCCAGGGCCCCGATACCAGGAGCCCTTTAATTCACCGCCTGCCATGTGCTGATCCAGTCACCTTAAATGGAACCAGGTGAGCTAGAACCAGAACCTCATTTTTGGATCCAAGATCATTTAACCTCCTCACCAGTGATTTTCTGATGTGATACTTTACAAAACCTTTGAACAAAGCTTCTTTTCAATCGGTTCCTTTTGAATAAAATCAAAACACTGTTGGGATGGCAGCAGAACCAACCGGTTCCGACCAAGTCGCTGGGACTAAAGCCAGGCGCTGTAGACCTCTGGGTTCTGATGTTCAGGTCCACTTTTGTCCCTCCTGGAAGGTCCATCCAGACCACTGCATGTTACATCTGGGCTGCTTTAATCTGAGAACTTGGAACCATTTTGGACCGGCGTGTGGGATCCGCCCTGATTACTGATCCGGACTGCAGGAGTCAGAGGCAGGAAGGAAAGGAGCAACAGTCGTAATCCGTGTGGGCGCTGAGAGTTGCTCCATCTGTTCAGACTAACAGATAATCCCTGACTTCACCAGGCAGAGCGTTCCAGAGGGAACCTCTTGCATAACGCAGACACCCTGATGAGTCTGCTTTCATAAGCAGCTTTAGGTTTGGTTCTGCTGGGTTCTGGTCAGGAACAGACCTGATGGATAATCTGCTCTCCAACACAGCTCAAAATAAAAGCCCTGAGCTCTTTATCGCTGCTCACCTGTTTCATCTTCATGCCCACAAGTTTGAAGCCCTTCATCTCGAACCTTTTGATGATCTCGCCGATGATGCCGCGCTGAACGCCGTCGGGCTTGATGGCGATGAAGGTACGCTCCTGCAGCTCAGCCATGGTTCTGAAAGAAAGAGACGGAGTGACTCAGAGGAATCAGAGGCGTTCCGCCTGACAGGAGGACAGAGGCTGGCCGTCACTCACAGCGGCGTGCCGCATGCAGTGGGAGGAGCCGAGCCAGCAGAGGCCCCAGACCCCATGGCAGCATCAGACGTTCAGGGGTCCTCACTGCTGGGGCCGGTGGCTAAGCCGCTCTGACAGGGCTGCAGCCACTGACCAATCACAGCTTGAGCTCAGTGTCCAATCAGACATCAGCAATAAATATCTGATTAATACCGTCAGAAAATATGTCTGATAAACTTCCAATAATTAAACTGAACTCTGATCCTGAACCAGGAGAGATTCACCCTCAGTCTGACCTTTAAAGGTCAGAGGTCAAGTTGTTCAGGATTTTCCTCTGGTTCTCGTGTCAAACGGCACAGAACCAGAGGTCATCGTCTCCTAATATGGTCAAAGGAAATGTTGGCTGCAGTCAGACCGATTAGATCAGAGGCAGCAGGTCCTAAGGACACAAAATCCCTTTAGTTCTGCTCCAATCACAAGCTGAGCACAGACTGCTGGATCAGAGGACAGCAGGAGTTAAACCTCATCATCCTCAGAGGCCTGCAGCTCAAATCCTCATTTGGCTCCTTGTCAACCAGCAGCAACATCAGCATCATTCCTCCTCTACTCTGCAGAAAACAGTGAAGGGAAAAACCTCTGACTGCAGCGTTTCAGCAGAACATAAAGAGCTTCTGCAGATCTGATGCCAACTCCTGAACCGGAGGCAGCCTGGCTGCCTCTCCCAGGCTGGTTTGCCTGGATTCATCAGTCAGGCCGTTTTAGGCGGAATTAATCTAATTATTTCCGCATCAGGTGAACTGGAGCAAAATGGCAGCAAGTTAACAGCTGCAGCACCTCTGGGTGAGGCAAGCATAACCTCCCAGTACAGGGGGGGTCACTGCGCATGCGTACTGAATTATTCAATAGGGCTGATCGGGAACTTTTTGTTCAAAAGGTTCTTTTGAACAAAAGGTTCTGATTTCTTTTATAATTATGTTTTTTTTTTTTACTAAAAACCTTCAGCTGCCGCCGCGTTGTGACGTAGAGGCCACGCGGCACCGAGTGATTGGCGTCTGTGCGCGCGCCAGGAGCTCAGCAGCGCGGGGTCCGCTCGGTCTGGAGCGCTAATCCGCCGCTTTGGACCTTCTGCTGACCGGCTGTGGTTGCGGGGAGCAGCGGCGGCCAGAAACAGGCTGGTTCCGGACTGGTTCCGCCTTTTCTGGGCCTTCGTGAACCGCCACATGGTCCCTTTGTTCCCGCTGCAGCAGAACCGGACTGGACCGGGTTTTAACTCAACGCACGCGGCTAACATTTCGGACGGAAACTCCGCGACGTTTGAAATGAGGACAAAGAGAAAAGCTTGTTTTATTTGTCACCTGATGAGAGACGCTCCGCGGTGATGTGATGTCAGTCCGGTTTAAAGGAGAGGAAGAACTACGGTGGCCGCGCAGCAGCCTTTTATAGGCGGGGGCCGAACTACGGCAAGCCACTGGAGACAAAGTTCCTGTCTTGACTCCTATGCAGAGATTGATCTAAGGCAGACATTGAACTCTTTTCCATTAGTCCTGGAATTCTGTAAAAAATACATGATTTCCAAGGTCTGTTGGTGTGTCTATAAATATATTTCTAGTTCTTGTTATGCAGAGACAGATTCTAGATCATCACTCTAGATTATTCTGGATCATCATTCTCAGGGCCGGATCTAGAAAAATATTTATGGGGTGGTGAGAGGGGGGCAGGAATTTTTTAGGGGTGGCAACATATGGCATTTGTTTACACTGAATTTAATCACAGTTATCACAGTTTGGTGAGAATAGTATGTAGAGTAAGTTTTTCATATAAAACAGTTCATATTAGAAATACATCGTACAATGTGATCTCACTTAATAGGAGATAGAAGAATAATAACACTACTTCTAGAGGGGCATTATCACAGGAAAGGTATTAAGGTAAGACACGGGTGCTGAGTCACAGAAGTGTGAGATTGACTGTCAGAGAGGCAGCTTTGCAGCATTTGCACAAGAAGAAACTATAGAATAAAAAAGTTCCCCATCAGAGATCTATGGACTGAGCTGTACTAAAGTGAGCAGAACTACACAGCAGAAATAAATGGGTCAAGGCACCCAAACAAGGTACTGGACATCCATGTATTGTTTACTCTGAACACACATTTACCCCATTTGTTCCTCAGTAACTTGACATACAGCAGTTAAGGCAACATGAAAGGGACATTTCATGCATGTAGATATGCTGTAGATAGAGCTGCTGTATCAACAAAAAGGCAGGTACTGTATGTTACATCAAAATCTCCACAAATCTGAAAAAAGCAACATAAAAATACATTTTGCTTCCAGTCTGAAAAAACATTTTGTGAGTAGGTTCATACAGGTCATTTCTGGATAGTTTAATACTATATATACAAAAAAAGAAACAACACTGCTTCATATTAAGCAGGATTTATTTTTATTACATTTTTAACTTTACTTTTAACACTTTTGGTTTTATTAAAGGAAATATCAGATTTTCTCAGGTGCCAAAACAAAATGTAACAGCTCTGTAAAGGCTCACCAGAGAGCATAACATAAAGTTAACATGACTATAACAGCTGAATGCAGCGATTTCCATGTTGCTCAGCAAAACGCTTCACTAATGTATTTAGATCCAATGCCTTTGTACGTTTTGATTAGTCTCTTTTCTGTCATAGTTGACCGCAAATATGTCTTTATGAGCCTGAGACGTCAGGCCTATAACTAACATCATAGTTAGAGAAATAACGTTGGCTCCTTGTCAACCAGTAGCATCATCAGCATCATTCCTCCTCTACTCTGCAGAAAACAGTGAAGGGAAAAACCTCTGACTGCAGCGTTTCAGCAGAACATGAAGAGCTTCGGCAGATCTGATGCCAACTCCTGAACCGTTGCAACCTGATTTTTATCATCTGAAAATCAGCATTGCAGCTATGCTAGCAACATTGTGCTTTCATTATGATTTAATTTCTCGATAGTTAATAAATTTTTACCTGTTTCATCCCATGTCTCCTCTCCCCATGACCCCTGGCTTTTTTTCTTTTACTATTTTTCAAGGCTGCACTTAAAGGCTGCACTTAAAAAAGATGAAATTGTCCAGAGAGCTGTTTCCAAACAAAATTTATTTTTGTTTTAGACTTGTGTAAACAAAATGAAAAATAAATCTGTCTAAATCTTATCAAAACATTTATGATTCTAAGCTAGATGAAAAAGACAAAGTTAACATAATATTTCTTTAGGAGTGCGATTGAAAACAGATTTTATGTCTGTCCAAAGAAGGACGAACGTTGTAACAGGGATTACTTTTAGAAACATTTATGCTCCTCCAAGTGCAACGCGCAG